CACCCGACTGAGCTAAGTTGTTTCTTGTTCAAGCTGTAGGTGCCGATCGCGGTCTTGTCCACAACGCGCTGCAAATCAGTGCACACGTTGAAGGAGGCGACGCACTCCGAGATAGGCCGCGCACCGTGGAGGCGAGGAGGGCGAGGGGGCGAAGGGATCAATCATGAGGGATGGGATGGGGATGGGGGGGGTGGAGAAGAAGGCGAGGGGTGAGGAGGGAGGGGGGGGAGGACAGGGAGGTAAAGGAGGAGGAGGAGGTGTGAGGAAGGGGCGGGGGAAGGAAGGGAGAGGGTCAGGAAGTCGGAAACGAACCTGCGTTCTTGGGGTCGGTCACATACAGGCTGTGCAGCTGACAATTCTGCAACTGGCAGCCCTGCCAGACAGACGAGTTGGTCGCATCCGACCTCCAGAAATGCCCAGCGATGTGAAACGTTGCGAACTGCACGCCCGGCGACGCGGGCGGACCGGGCCGCAGCGGCCTGGCGATGTCGCGCTCGCAGTCGGCGTGGAACGCGCGGGCTGCCGACACCCACGCCCCCGATGCTTTGCGCTCGCACCGGATCACAGTACTCGCGACGACGTCCTCCAGAACCGACGCGCCCATATCAGTGGCGGTAACCGACGCCAGGCAAGGCCAAAGGGGCGTCGCCACCAGGGACATGATTCCATTCATGGGAAGGGGTGGGCAGAGAGTTGACTCGCGAGTCAGTGCTCAAGGAAATGGCTGCCCTCCGCCGTGCGCCCCACGAATCGCACCGCCCCCCCCCCCCCTCCTCCCCCATCTGCCATCGAACGTCGATCATCGGGCAATCGTCGGGGGCGGGGCGGGGGGGGAGGGGGGCAGAGGGCAGGCCCGCCCTATTAGTGGCGACTCACCTTGGCACTACCCGCGAAGTGAGCGCACAACGCACTCCGATCACGAGGCGACCACGCTCAGTGAAGTGATTCTGGGTCTTGCGGGCTCTCCCGTTACATGTTCTCTCGATTATGAACAGCGCGTTGGGGTCGTCGTCGTCCTCGATGGCGAGGGTGTTCGCATCGCCGACGCCGAGTCTGTTGAGCTGCTGGCGGTGCAACCTCTCCCGCTGCCGCAACGCCGGGATTTCGGCGTCGCGGTCGACAACGACCTCTGATGGCGGGGCGCCGATCGCGCTGGGTGGGGGGGGGCGGGGGGGGCTGGGAGTGAGCGGGGGAATGGCAGAATGGCAGAGGAAGGGCCGCGGCTGGGGCCCCGAGTCGGATGGCGGTGGGCGAGAAGTGCCGATCAGCGGGCGACGAGGCGACGAGACGTCCAGGAGGGGGGCGTTCGCGGCGACTTCGGAGCGCCACGCCGACCTCGCAGCGTCGCAATGACGACCGACCCCCCCCCCGTTCGTCTCGTCACATCGTTGCCCGCAGAAGGGGGGAGAGAGAGACCGGGGATGGGGGCGACAGGGCGCGCGGCGCACGGCGCGCGGCGGCCTCGACCAACAGCGCGGGATCCATCGCCGCGCACTCCGACTTGGAGAGGAGCGGCACGCAACGACCCCGCCGCCTGACAGGGCGCGGGCCTGGGTCATTGACGCCGCGTCTCGCTGTCTCGCCCGCTCGCCCCCGCATCGCTCCCGCGATCCCCCTCGCGCCGAACGACGCGCCCCCTTCCTTGGACACCACAGCAAGATCGCAATCATCCCGAATCATCCCCATCATCGGCACCCCCCTCCCTCATGGCTCATAGGATCATTCATCCGTGCCTCTGACTCCTCCGACATCCTCGTCATCTCGTCATCGGTACCCCGCGTCCACCGTGTCCTCGCCATCGTCCCCCGAGCCCTCCCCCATCCTCCTCAGCCGCCCGCATGGCTCAGTTTACTCGCTATATCTCGTTATCTGCCCCCACCCCTCTCTCCGCGCACTGCCCCGCTCTGATGCCGCCGCGGCTGGGGGCACGCTGGGGGGACGGACGCGACGGGGCCCAGGACGGGGGTAGGAGTCTGAGGATGACGAGGAGCCATTGGAGCTGATAGCGATGATGATGATGATGACGATGCTGGTGATGACGACGATGGTGGTGGCGATGATGTCGTTGATGATGAGTATGATGCTGATGACGACGATGGTGATGATCTGGATTGGGTGAGGAGGTCGAGGATGGTGATGATGCTGAAGATGAGGGCCGCCTTGGCGGCGCCGCCGGCGCCGCAGCCGCGGGCGCGGCATCCGCCACATCCAGCGCCGCAGGGGGCGCGGGCATCAGCGGCGCGGGGGGCGGCGTCGGCGTCGGCGTCGGCGGCACACAGTGATCAACAATGTGGTCCCACGCGGCCGCACTGATGTCCACATGTACACAATGCAGCGATAGCGGTACAAATACCACAGGCAGGACGGTGCCGGGAACGGCTGGCGCGACGGCCATCGTTGCCGCGCGCCTCATGGCGCCGCGGGCCGCCGAGAGCGACACGCGCCCGAAAGCGGTGACCATGCCCTCCACCGCGGCACGCTCGAGCACGAGCGCGCCATCCTGGAGGCGGCGGGCCTGGGACGTGACAGGCAGCTCCAGCCGCCTGCAGTCCAGGGGGTCCAGCGGGCGGCGGCGAGACATGGCTGGCCCTGGCGACGCGCAGCAAGGGCGAAGAGCAAAGGCAGTGGCCGTCCAAAGGGGTGGAAGTTCAGGGGCGCCCCACCCCGGGGGCCCCACCCACCCCCCTAGAACGACCGACGCCCTCACCCATCGCCATTGCGGGCGCGGGCGACGGAGAAGGATGAAAAAGGGAGGGGGGGAGTAGCAGGGAGGAAGGCGGGAGAGGGGAGGAAGGCGGCGCGGGGAGTGGCACAGGCTGGAGAGGGGGGGCGGGAGAGGGGCACAGTGCGCAGTCGCAGTGTTCGTGTTGCCTGTGCTGTTTTCGTGCGCACTGGAATAGCGCTGTGTACAGTGTACACTAGCGACCCAGCCGCGACCCCGCGACTTGGGTGAGCAGCCAGTTGAATAAGATTTCCTGGCTGTTCAAATGAAGGTGGCGGGAGTTGGAAGGGGAGGGGTGGGAGGAGGGGGGAGGGGGGGGGAAGTAGGAGGAGGGCGGGGGAGAGGCAGGAGGAGGGAAAGAGAGGGGAAGGAGGGTGGAAGGGCAAGCCAGCCAAAGTTTGGGCCAACGGCCGCGCTGCGCCGCGCGTGGGAGATCAGGAGGCGCGAGCTGCAGAACTACGACATCCACACTTGCACCACGTGTCAGATAAACAGATGCCTCCTCCTCCGCCTCCTGTTCCTCCTCGCCATCATCATCCTCCCTCTCCTGCATCGCCTCTCCTCTCCTGGTGCTTCCACCGTTTCCTAGGTCCTCCCCCGGGGCACCCCATCATCATCGCACTCTCTCCCTCCCCCATCCCCGTCTCATCCACATTCCTCAGCTACACTGCTCGCCAACCCTCATATCCCAGTATGTTACGGTGATGTTTTAATGTGATAGGCAGTGATGAGCGTGTGAATCCGTCATTGCACAGTTGTATGTTTGCACCAATCGCACGGATCGCGTGCTGCAATTGTCGTGATTCATGTGTGATGCGGGGTTGGGTTTTTGTGGTTTTGCTGTGCCGCGATATCAGTTAGGCAGCTTTTCTCTTAACCAAGCTGCTCAAATTTGCATGTTTCATAGAATCACAAATGAGGAATTTGCGTAATTCTGCACATCAAACATTAGGATTTTGCATGATTCATCTGTCGAGAATCAATGATTTGCTATCAACATAAACACCTTACCCGCCAAAATCCGTGAATCAAAAAAGCTCGATTCACAGATCATCGGTTTCACAACATAACAGCAAATTGAAAGTTATCACCCCCCTGGCGCCTGCGGCGGCGCTGGTCGCCCGAGCCTGCTCGTGAAAAGCCTGCCGGCACGGTGGCGGATTTATCTCTGAGCCACTCCCTCCTTGAGCGCTGCTGTTCAGAATGATATAGGAAAAAAGAGAGCATTAACATAAACTGTCGGAGGTCCGCGCGGGTTTCTCATGTCGGAATTGGGCCCACCAGGCGGCGCCTCACGCGCCGCCCGTGGCGCGATCTGTGCGCCAGAGAGAGGCGCCCAGCGCAAACCCAACCAGCCCGCACATATTCCGACAGTTCGTGTTTATGTAAATGCGCTTGCCTTATACTTTCCCCCTCTGAAAGTTCCACCTGTTCTCTCTCCCCGGGCATGTCCTGGAAATGTCCCCCGCCCTCTGCGCATTGCTTCTTGTCGCACCGGATTTCAAGCCGTGTTTGTTGTGTCTTTTACAATCCTATTGTTCTCCGTGTTTTCAAATGGTGTGTCCGCATCGTGGGCCTCATTTTCTGATCGGCGCTTTGCTCCCTTCGTTGAAAAGGGCGCTCTCGCCGCAGCGCGGGCCACTCTTCTGGATCCGGGTAGTTTTGTTATCGTTCTCGCCCCCTCATTTCTCCTCCTGCGCCTCCCCCTGGTCCTCCTGCTCAAACCGCTCGTTCCAATCCAGTTTCTACTGCTGGTGTTCGTCCTTGTCCTCCTGCTTCCTCATCATTTTTCTTTCCAGTTCATCCTCCTGCTCGTCCGCCACCTCCTCCACCTCGTCATAGATACGCAGCTGCCCCTTTGCGCTTGCGCATTACACGACAAGGTTTTTGTTTTCTAGTTCCATGTTGGTTTTGACACGAGCTCGCGAATGGAAAAGATACCAGCACAAAAGGGAACACATGGGAGAGACAGGATAGGATGTCAGGTGTGCCGCGAGCGCGCCCAGCTTGATCCTAGTCCCTCCCCCCATCCCTCTTGTCAGAGAGAAGGGAGGATAGGGCGGCGTGGGGAGGACGGGGAGGGGAAGGACGAGGAGGGCCGGGAAGGGAGGCAGGGTGAAGGGAGGATGGTCGAGGGTCGGGACGGGGAGGGACGGGGCCTGTCTTCCTCTGCCTCCCGCGACAGCCGCCGCCCGTCGGTTCCACCGCCCTTCCCCCGGTGCCCCATGCCTGCCTGGCGCGGCGGCGGCCGGCAGTTCCTATCGGGTGCCCCCCGCAGGAGAAGAGGGAATCCGCCTTCCGCGAACAGGACCGCGCCCTCCCCTGGCAGACCTCCCTGGCAGGCTGCACTGTCCCGGGGAGGGGGGGGCGGAGGAGGGCAGCAGCACGGCTTTCGGGCCAGAGGCTATCTCATCGGGCGAAGCATCGAGAGAAGTTGCCGTTTTGCTTTCTCAACTGAGGCGAGCGGCTGGCATGTAGGTGTGTCGGGACCGTCATGAGAAGAACAGAAAATAACATATTGGATCTGCACGCAGGCGACGACGAGCGCGCATGCGGGAGGCCATGGCCCTTTCGGGGCGGGCGAGCAGGCAGAGGGGTGGGGCGGGCGGGGACAGCAGGCAGGGAGCAGGGGGAGAGGGGGGGGGGGGAAAGGGGGAGGGGGGGGGAAAAAGTGGGAGGGGGAGCAAAAGGAAAGGGAGGGGACCCAGATGTGCGGGGCCATCTCGGATTTCCGGGATCTGCGCTGGGCCTCCCTGGCGGCGCCTCGGGCGCCGCCCCTGGCGCGCTCCGCGGGCCAGGGAGGGGTGTCCAGCGAAGACATCCGCGCGGACCTTTGAACATACCCGTCCGTTTCTACAGATGTCGTTCCTTCTGTTTTGTCGTTGCAGAAGATCCCGGCGGGAGGTTTTGGGTAGTTGTTGACGCGTCGCGAATCCCCACCAACCCATCCTTGAACAACCATTCTAGCGAAGATTACCCACTATCGGGATTTGGCAGTCAGTTTTCCAGCAACGATGCTCACAGGAGTTGCTCTGATCAGGGGAGTGTGGAAGCACAGAGAGAAACATAGGACGGGGGTTGACGTCATACCACGAGAGGAGAAGATGGAGGAGGGATCGGAGGAGAGGGAAGATGTGGGGGAGGGGGAGGAGGGAGGAGGAGGAGGATGTGGGGTAGGTGATGGAGGGAGGGGGCGGCAGATTAATAGGTGGATGATCATGATGATGATGATGCTGATGATGCTGCTGATGATGATGATGCTGCTGCTGATGGTGATGATGATGCTGATGCTGATGCTGATGATGATGATGATGCTGATGCTGATGCTGATGCTGATGCTGATGCTGATGCTGATGCTGATGCTGATGCTGATGCTGATGCTGATGATGCTGATGATGCTGATGATGATGATGATGATGATGGTGGTGATGATGATGATGATGATGATGATGGTGATGGTGATGGTGATGGTGATGGTGATGGTGATTGTGATGGTGATGTTGGTGGTGGTGGTGATGATGAGGATGAGGATGAGGATGAGGATGAGGATGAGGATGAGGAGGAGGAGGAGGAGGAGGAGGAGGAGGAGGAGGAGGAGGGAGGACAATAGCGAGCTAGTGGGCCTCTTCGGCCGTCTTGGGGGCACCCTGGCGGTCCCGAGGGTCCTCTTGCGTACCTCGGGTAGCTTTGAAGGGGCCTCTTGGGGGTCTCTTGGGAGCCTCTTGGAGGCCTCTTGCGCGCCTCTTGGGGCCCTCTTGGGGCGCTCTTGGGAGCTTTAGGGGCGTTCTTGGGGCCATCTTCGAGGACGTCGATCAAAAAAAGGGGAGCTCCAAACATCGCTTCGTTGACCACTTGTGGAACCCTCTTCGGGCGCTCTTGGGCGCTCTGGGGGCCGTCTTGGGGCTCTCTTGGGCCTCTCCTGGGGCCATCTTGGGCCATCTCGCAGCAAGATTAAAACCTCGGACGGCCATCGGAAGCGAAAAGGCGAGAAAGCACAAATTATTGATTCTCAGTAGTTTTTTGAAGGAATTTGGCCTCTCGGGGAACTCCTTGGAGGTCTCGGAGGCATCTGGGAGCCGTCTTGGAGCGTTCTTGGGGCCTCTTGCAGCGTATTGAAAGCCATCTTGATGCATCTTGCGCTATCTTGAGCCATCTGGGAGATCATCTTGGGCTTTCCGAGGCGCTCTTGGAGCAGTCTTGGGCCATCTTGGATTCTCCAACTACCCGCGACCACCCCCGTCCAGGTCCACAGAGAGGGGGTATGGGGGGAAGGGTGCACCCTTCCCCGAGGGGGAAGAAGGGGGTTGGAAGAGGAGCCTCCCTAGACCACCTACGCCCAGAGGGCGGGTGGCATTTTCTCCCTCGCGGCAACAAGGTGGCCCCAGGGAACAAGTCCAGACCTCCGGGGAACCCCGTCGTCGGCCGGCGCACCGGCCCGGCCCGGCCGGGCCCTCCCAGGGAAGCGTTCTGGCAAGGACCTTCGGGTGCCCATGGTGCATACTTGGGGGCTGCCCACGGAAGCGTCCTGGCAGGCGGCTTCGGGCGACTCAGGGAAGCGCTCTGCTAGGTACCCTTCGGGCGCCTCGCGGAGGCGCCCCGTTGGGTAGCTTCGGGCGGATCACGGGGAGGCGTGCTTACGGGGGGCGGCTCGAAAAAGTCGAGGCGTCTGGTTTCTCGTCGGGGTTTCGAGCCCCAGCCCTGTCTCGAGAAAGTCGAGGCGCCAGATGTTTGAGTCCAGCGTCTCGAGCAAGAAAATCCAGACTTGTGCCTTTTGCCGTCTTCGGCCGCCGGGGGCCTTCGCCAGGTCCCCGGACAGTCAGAAAGCAACTCAGGATGGAAGGCTGAAGGGTCGGGGCTTCCAGGGACGCCGCTTTGTGAAAGGCAAGGCGCTGGTTTCTGGGCCCCCCCCCTCCGGAGGGAGGACAGGCGGGGAGGAGCTCGCGATGACTCGAATCAGAAAACATGCATGAACACTTCTGTTGGGGGTCTGACGCGGATCTCTGGAAAATCGGTGCTAGGCCCCGTGGCGGCGTCTCCGGCGCCGCCCTCGGCGCGCTTCGCGCGCCAGGGGAGGGGGTTACAGCGACGACCCACGCAATCGACACCGACTCCCGTGAGCATGTACAGTCAGCGAGCGAAGAACGGTATGAAATAATTTTTTTCGCTGTCGGGGGCGCCTGTCCCTGGGCGGCTGGAAAGTTTATATCCCTACGGTGCCACCGTAAAGGTATAAATTTTCCAGCCGCCCTGGGACAGGCGCCCCCTACAGCGAAAAAGTTTATTTCATACCGTTCTTCGCTCGTTAATACAGGGTCCAGCTTGAACCCTTATTTTTCAAAAAGGGTTCGGTCGTTCCTTTGGTTTGCATGCGTTCCGCTACCTTTTTGGCGGCGAGCTGCCCCCCTGGTGTTCCTTCGGACTTCCTGAACTTACTTGGAAACAAGAGGGGCTTTGTTCCTTATTTATCGCTCCTTAGGTCAGGCCGAATACTGTAATGTTGTTGTGCAGCTTGATGTTCAGAGACTCACCACCCACCAAATCACCCCAACCCAGCCCGAAGGCCGAAAGCCCCCATCTGCGTTATGTTCCCCATGGGGGGGGGTCGTCGGGGAACATTGAAGAGCTTACGTGGAACCCGCTCCCCCCCAATCCGAAATCTGGGTCTTGGGGTGGTCTGGTAGGTAGTCAGCTTGTTGTTCCCCATATCCTAAGATGGGGTTCTTGTTATTACTTGGACGCCTCCTACTCCCTTTCCTCCTTCCTCCTCCTCTTTCCTCCTCCCCTCCTGTCGGACTTACTCATACTCAGACTTGCTCATACTCAGACTTACTCATACACAGACTTACTCATACTCAGACTTACCCATACTCAGACCTACTCATACTCAGACTTACTCACACTCTGACATACTCATACACAGACTTACTCATACACAGACTTACTCACACCCAGACGTACTCATACACAGACTCACTCATACCCAGACTTACTCATACACAGTATTAGTCATACTCAGACTTACTCATACCCAGACGTACACATACACAGACTTTCTCATACACAGACCTACTCATACCCAGACTTACTCATACACAGACTTACTCATACACAGACTTACTCATACTCAGCACCCCTAAGGGGAGCCGCCAGGGGTGGTTGCACGGGCTCGTTCGCGGCCATTTTGTGGGGATGTCTCAGGCGGTTTGCTTGTTTCTGGGCCCAACATCCTTCGCTTGGAGAGCAGATTGTGAGGATGTCTCAGGCGGGGCGCTGGTTTCAGCACCCCTAAGGGGAGCCGCCAGGGGTGGTTGCACGGGCTCGTTCGCGGCCATTTTGTGGGGATGTCTCAGGCGGTTTGCTTGTTTCTGGGCCCAACATCCTTCGCTTTCGGAGCAGATTTGGAGGATGTCTCGAGCGAGGCGCTCATTTTCACCCCCAGGTGGGCCAGATTTTGAGGATGTCTCGATCGGTTTGCTTGTTTTGGTGGCCAGGCTCGTGGCCCTAAGGGGAGCCGCCAGGGGTGGTTGCACGGGCTCGTTCGCGGCCATGTTGTGGGGATGTCTCAGGCGGTTTGCTTGTTTCTGGGCCCAACATCCTTCGCTTTCGGAGCAGATTTGGAGGATGTCTCGAGCGAGGCGCTCATTTTCACCCCCCAGGTGGGCCAGATTTTGAGGATGTCTCGATCGGTTTGCTTGTTTTGGTGGCCAGGCTCGTGGGCGCAGATTCTTCTCAGGATGCCACAGGAGGCTCCAACAGGCTCCAGGAGGCCCCAGGAGACCACATGAGGTCCCAGGAGGCATCAGGAGGCCACAGAAAGACTCAAGAGGCCACAGGATGTCCCAAGAGGCTCCAGGAGGCCCCAGGAAGCTCCAGAAGGCCTCAGGAAACCACAGGAGGCCCCAGGAGGCAACAGGAAGCGCCAGGAGGCCTCGGAAGGCAACAGGAGGCCCCGAGAGGCCCCAGGAGCAGGAGGCCTCAGAAGGCAACAGGAGTGGCTCCAATCCCATGTGTTTTACGTATGCTCCTATCGATTGGGCCTCACCTGGAGCACGATTCTTTGATGTTCTACGTATGTTTCTATAGATGGTCCTTCTCCTGTGTACACAATCCTAAATGTTTTACTCATGTTCCTATATATTGGGCCTCTCCTGGGGCACGAGTCCTTGGTGTTTTACGCGTGTTCCTATAGATTGCCCTTCTCCTGTGGCTCTAATCCGCAATGTTTTATGTACGTCTGTTGCTATAGATTGCGCCTCTCCTGGGGCACGAAACCTTCCTAGGAGGTCCCAGGAGGTCCCAAGAGGCTCCTGGAGACCCCAGGAAGCCCCAGTAGGTTTCAGGAGGCCCCAGGAGGCCCCAGGCTCATGCACAGAGACGCGCTCGTACTACTGAGGCTCATTCACACTCCAATTCGTTCGCAGTTGGATTGATGTCCAGACCGTCACAACTGAAGCCCGTTAATATTCGAAAGCTCTTGCGCCTAGACATTCACGGCGGACAGGTCCATGCGAGTAGATGCACATATGGGGAGCTCCACGCAGTGAATAATTCCTCCTCGTCCAGGCACCATGCTTTGCCAGGGCAACCCTGAGCGCCAGGTCAGGATAGTGTATAGCCCCTCCTGGCAGAGGCAAGAACCCCCCCTCCTACCGTTCCCCCGCAGGCCTGGGCGAGTCGGGTGTTGACGATCGCGCCCCTCGACTGCGCTGGAAAGGGACCCTTTGGCCGGAGACCTCTGGTGCGGGCCCGCTGGCGTCCCATTTCGGGTCGGACTGCAGCAGCGCTCCCCCGCCCCCGCAGCCACTTCCCCCAGAGGCCCCGCAGAGGGTGGTGCCAGCAGCACGCTGCGAGCTGCACGCCAGCGTGCCGCCCTCACGCTGCCCCTCGCCCTCCTGCTCTCTCCTCCCTCCGCCCCCCGCGCAGGAGGCCCGGAAGGCCGAGATCAGGGCCCAGGATCTCAGGCGGACGGACGTGATGGAGCAGCACAAGCAGGCGGCTTCCTTTCACTTCCTCCCTTCCCTTCCTCAACGCCATCAACCAGCTCAACGCCATCAACCAGCAGCTGGCGAGGGACGCGTGTGAGAAGGAGCAACCGTCGATGAAGCGGGGCCGGGCCAGCATCGCTCGGCAAAGTGAGAGAAGCAACGCGGGAGGCCGATGCAATTAGCAGAGCCATCGCACAGGGTTCAGACAAGGCCGAAGCAGATCAGAACCGGAGCAAAACAGCGAGGTGGCGCTTGCGAGACGGGGGAGCAGCGGGACCAGCCAACACAGTCAGCGCATCGTTTGGCGTGATGGCAGATGCGAAGCTGGAGACCGTCCTGGAGACTCACGACAGCTGCCGCAACAGGGACAGGGGCACCTCCACAGGGGGGGTCCCCACGGCGTCGACGACCACGCGCGCACGGCCGAGGCGAGCCGCCGTTGGAGGCAGGCGCGAAGGGGAGCGCAGGCGCCGTCCGCCTCGCGGAAGCTCATGGGCCTGTTTCCCACCACCACCACCATAAGTCGGAGGGGGGAAGGAGGAGGAGGAAGATGAGGAGGAGGAGGAGGAGGAGGAGGAGGAGGACCCCCTCCCCCTCCACCTTATGGTGGTGGTGGTGGTGGTGGTGGTGGTGGTGGTGGTGGTGGTGGTGGAAAACGCGCCCATCAGAAGCGCCCTGTTTCGCCGATCGGGGTTGCAAGAGCGCGCTCTCGGGACGTGCGTGCGGTGCGGGGTGCAGCCACGTCGAGCGCGACACGAGCGGCGCAGAAGAGCGCTCTTTGGCGCCGACATTGGCGCGTACGCTGTCCGCGCAAGGCCGCGCGTTCGCGCCCTGGTCTCCAGCGCATCGTGCCGCGCTGGCGGCCCGCGCGCGCAAGCCGCCGCGTGAGGTCGCCATTTCAAGGTGCGTGAGAACCGTGTCTTTCCGTCGCTCAGGTCGAGCGCGAGCTTCAGCCGCTCCCCCTCCAGCTGCCGTTCATACACCTCTCTTTTCCTCCTCCTCCTCCTCCTCCTCCTCCTCCCCTTCCTTGTCCCTCCTTCTAGGGTCATGACGTCCTGTGCTGAGAATGCTCCATTTTATTGCGTTATTCATCCTCCAACATAATCTGCACCCCATCCCCTGCCCCTCCCCGCACCCACTTCATTCTCCACCGCTCCGACAGGCTTTCCAGGAGCACGTCGAGAGGAAGAAGGCGCGCAGCGTGCCAAGTTCTTCGGGCGGGAGTGAAAGATGGAGGAAAGAGGAGGGTGAGTGTGAAGATGGGGGGCGGCAAATATAATAATGATAATGATGACTCATCTTAAGAGGAGGGTGAAGATGAGGATGATGGGAAAGGATGATGATAATGGTAATGATGACTTGTCGAACAGCTGGCGCGGGGGAGGGAGGGGGGCGCCGGTAGCTCTGCGGAGGACGCCCTGCGTGGACCCCCCGCGTCGGCGGCCGCGCCCTGCTGGGGCTTTCTGGGGACCGCCCCAGATGACGCTGCGATTACCCCCGAATTCGTATCGATCTTCCGAGGCCGGGGCAGCTGCTGGACATGCTGCCCTTTCCGTGGCACTGGCTCCAGGGTTTGTTTTGGGCTGGCTTTTGGCGTTTCCCCATGCCGGATCCTGCTGTCCCGGTTGGGGGGAAGGCGGAGGGGAGGGTGCAGGACGACCAAATGATCGGTCAGGTGCATCAGGCTTGCGCTTGCACGGAGTTCTTCCGTGGTCGGTGTTCGTTGAAGTTCGTTGATGTTTTGGGACGCGGTTCGGAGTGTGAGGCGGCTCCGGGTGTGAAGAACGGCCAGGAGCGAGGCCCGCCGAATGCGCTGATACAAAGAAGTGGAATTGCGCCAAGACAAAGGTCCGCCGCGCACAGTGCATGCCTGGGCAGCCCAGGAGAGCGCCACCGCCAGGGCCCCCTCGGCATCCAGCACACCTAGGCCACAGGGCCTCCACACATCTTCTAGACGCGTCGCGTAACCCGCCAGCCTATTCATAAACGATGCCCAGACGAGTTGCCTTGCTCAGAGGAATAAAGGGCTGGGTAAGAGGTTATACTCCAAGAGGGGGAGTACGGAGGAGGAACCGGAGAAGGCGGAGTAGGGAGAGGGGGAGGAGGAGGAGGGAGCAGGAGGAGGAGGAGGAGGACGAGGAGGAGGAATAGGCGGATGAGAAAGAGGAGGAGGAGGAGGAGGAGGAGGGCGAGCAGAAAGGCCAGAGGCCTTTTGGATACTTCTCGGAGTCTCTTCGGGTGTCTCTTGACAGCTTGTTATGGGCCTTTGGGGCGTCTTGGTGGCCTCTTGGCGGTCCCTTCGGCCTCTTGAAGCGTCTTGGGTGCCTCGCGGGAGCCTGTTGGAGGTCTCGTGGGAGCCTTCTGGGGACCTCTTGGAGACCTCTTGAGGCCTCCTGGGGGCCCCTTGGGGCCGTCTTGGGGCACTCGTGGGGGCCGCGGGGGCCAGTTTGCGACCAGCTTGGGGGAGATCGATCAAAGGAGGGGCCGCAGTAGCGCCCCTCCCAGGAGACCAAAAGGGCTTCAAACCTTAGTTGAACCTGTGATTAGTGCCTTCTCGCCGAGGCCATCTTCCCTGTCCAGGTCCAGGGGTACGGGGCAGGAGTAGGAGTAAACCCCTCCCCGAAGGGGAAGAAGGGGGCTGGAAGAAAAAACCCGGTAAGCCTGCCACTCCCTGGCTGGTGGGATCAGGTTCACAGGAGATCACATTCCTCAGTTGCATGGGGTCTTCCTGTTTGTTCCTCGCTAGGCTTCGCCTGAGGGGTTCCTTTTTTTGCTTCTTGAAAAGCTGGTGGGTGCCACCCCCCACTTTAGGGGTGGAGCCTTGTCTTGCCCCGTTCTCTGGCTTGGGTTTCTCAGCTTCCTTGCCCAGGTTCCTGGTCTTGTTCCTTCAGCCCCCCTGTCTTTGCCAAGCCGCGCGAAGCAACGAATCCAAGCAATGCCAAGCAGTGCCGGGCAATGCCGAGCAAGTCAGAGCGATGCCAAGCAATGCAAGGACAACGCATGCTTGGCATCGCTCCGATTTGCTTCGAATTGGTTGGGTTGCGCCGGGTTCCCTTGGTGTTCATTAAGCGCGTTTCTGCGCAGGGCCCTTCCGTCACCTCTCCTTGGGCCCGCCTTGGTTTTCGCGCCCCCCCCCCCCCCCCCGATCTCCCTGGCTGGAGCCCGCCGTGCCCTGCCCAGGGCCGGAAGGCAAGGCAGAGCAATGAGCAGGCGAAGGGCGCCGAGTAGTTCGGGTGCCGCAGAAAGGGGGGGTGTCCTAAGGGGCCCTCGAGGGGCTGGACTCGAGAGGTGCACGTTTCTCCTCTTCTCCCCTCCCTGTTTATCCCCCCCCTCTCCCCCTCTCCCCTCCCCATGTATCGCCCTCCCCATTTATCGCCCCCTCGCCATTTATCGCCCCCTCGCCATTCATCGCCCCCTCAGATTTATCGCCCCCCCCAATCGCAGCGACACTCTCCTCGCCCTGGGCCAGCCCGCGTGCGGCCTGGCACGGGCTTCTCGGGGCCCCCCCAACGGTGCGGTGGCCGTGCCGTGCGGTGACTCGGCGGGTGTTCGGGGTGACCGCACGGTTTTGGGACGTGAGTCGCTCTTCCGAGGCCGTCTCGGAGGCTGGAGCCTCCGAGGTCCTAAAATCGTGCTCTGACGGACCGTGTGGTGAGGCATCTTGGGGTATAGAACCCGGGGGTGGGGGGGGAAGCTTAGGGTAGGCCTAGGGGTAGGCCTAGGGTTGGCCTAAATGGTAGGCTAGGGTAGGCCTACCCTCCGGGTTCTAGAAGCATCTTGGGACTTCGAACTCATCGCACGGTCGTCACCGCACCCTTTTGGGTCCCCAATTTGGAACGGATTTTGTGGGCGGGAAACATCCACATTCACTGCCTCACGGTCCGATCTCCACGGCCGCGACCCAATGGATACATGTCGGTGTTGCGCGGGTGCCCCGCGTGGGACGCATGCACGGGTCGCGTGTTCAGTGCATCGCGCCTCGACGCCCAGACCGCGAGAGTGTGGGTATGGATATGGTCATGGTCGTCGCTCGCGAGGACTCGTGGGCGGAGCCCCCTCGCTCCGATTGTTTCTGCTGCCGCGCCCCCGCTGAAGATCGGCGGCGCGCCCGGGGGGGGGGGAAACGCGACGGGACAGGCCCTCTCAGACGGCGGCGAGGCCTCCCAGAAGCTCTCATGCCTTCTGAAAAGCCTCCTCTGTCTTCGCAAGCAAGCAGGCAAGCAGGAAGGCCAAGCATCCTGAAGGTCGCTTGGGCTGGCAAGGATACTCCTGGTTCCTGCCGTGATTCGCTGCTAAGTGAACGCAACCAGCCAGAAATAGATAATCGGCGCCAGCGCGGTTTGGATTAGGCTGCGCGAGAGGAGGAGCAGAAGGAGGAGAAGGATGAGGCGGAGGAGGAGAAGGGGAATGATGATGATGAGGAGGAGGAGGAGGATGAGGCGGAGGAGGACAAGGGGAATGAGGAGGAGGAGGAGGAGGAGCAGGAGGAGGAGGAGGAGGAGGATGAGGAGGAGAAGGGGAATGAGGAGGAGGAGAAGGGGAGGAGGAGGAGGAGGAGGAGGAGGAGGAGGACGAGGAGGAGGAGGAGGAGGAGGAGGAGGAGGCTCCAAACCAACTTCTCAGAGGGCCGGAGGCCTCCCGAGCCTTCTGAGAAGGCCCGTTCCCTCCTCATTTCCACCTGGGCGCGCCGCCGAAGAGAGAGCACGCCGACAGGCCGACCGGGTGGGAAAGACGCAGAGGACCGCAGAGGCCAACCTGGAGCTCGAGCTGCGGAGGCGCGAGGAATTCGAGGAGAAGCAGCGGAAGGCGCGCGTGGGGCCGCGCTCCGTGCGCCGTGTCGGGTGGGCCGGTCTCTAGGGCAGCGATTGGGGGACTCTTTGGATGGGATAGTTCTCGGGAGTGTGTGTGTGTGTGTGGGTGGGGGGGACCTTCCCACGGCGCTTGCCCATTACCGCCCCTTTCCCCCCCCTCCTCCTCTTCTTCCTCCTCCTCCTCCTCCTCCTCCTCCTCCTCCTCCTCCTCCTCCTCCTTGCCCCGGAGGGGCATCCCCATAAGCGGGGTGTCGGGCCAAAATGCCCCCTGGTGCAGGCGGGGAGCACCGGGCCTTCGGGGTCCAAGCCCCCGCACCCGGGCTTCCCCTCCCGGGGGGCTGCCAAGTCCCGTGGCCTCCCCCAGGGCGGTGCGGGAGCTCACTCCCCGCACTCGCCGCCTTGGGACGGGACTAGCGATCCGTCCTCCCCGTCGTGTCGTGTCGTTGTCGTTGTCGTCGTCGTGTCGTGGGTCCTGGGGTCCAGGCCCTCCGGTTTCTTGCCCTTGTCCTTTGGGCGTGCGGGGGGCCCTGCCCGTTCGGCTTTCCCCCTTCGTGGGGGCGGTTGCTTTCGGTTGGGGCCTCCCGCCTGCCCGCGTGGCGAGGCTTTCTCTCCGTCCCGCACGGGCGGGCTCGCCCGTCGCCCGCGTGGGTGGGGCGCCGCGGCCGCGCCGCGCGGCCGCGCGCGACTGGCTCTGCGCGGCCGATGCGCGGGTGGGCTGGATGCGCGGTGGGAAAAATCTTCCTCCCTTTCCTCCCTTTCGTCGTCCTCGTCCTCGTTCTCTTCCTCCTCCTCCTCCTCCTCCTCCTCCTTTTCCTCGCGGACCTCGCAGACCTCAGGCGCGGCTGGTCAAGCTAGGCTCAGCCGACGCGCCACTACAATTTGTTAGGGACCTCGCGCGTGGGATCAATTACCGAGGAGGGGGGAGATGGGGTCGGGGGGAGAGGGGGCGGGGGGAGCGGAAGCAAAGTAAGGAAAGGACCAAAGGAGGAAAGGTTGGTCCAGCTTGTGAGGGGTCCCAGGGAACAGCCCCCTGAGGAGCTTGGAGCGTTATGCGCTCTTCTTGGCTGTCCTAACATCCCGACAGAAGAAACTTCCCAGTCTTGGCGCTGGCGAAGCCTCCACGCTCAACACAACATATCACGGGTACGTCTGCCGTGTTGGGGGTAGGCTCGACCTCGCCCATTTCAATTTGTGACTCGAACTTCCTTCGCCCACGATGGCTCAGTGGGACAGTGGTGGGGACAGTGGGACAGCGGTGGCGACACTGGGGCAGTGGTGGGGACAATGGTGACAGTGGGGAGAGCGGGACCGTGGTAGGGACAGTGGTTGGGACACTGGGGATAGTGCGACAGCGGCGGGGGCATTGGCGGGGACAGGGGGGACAGCGGTGGGAACAGTGGGGACAGTGGCGGGAACAGTTGGGGCAGTGGGACAGTGGTGGGGACGGCGGCGGTGGGGACAGTGGTGAGGGCGGTACTGAAGACGGCTGTGGGGACCGGGGGGTCGTCTGCCGGCGGCGGGTGAAAAGGGGGGGGGGGGGGGAGGGCTTCGAACCGGCAGGGTCACCCCCCCGTTTTTTGGGAGAGGGGGGATGGGAGGTTCGAGCCGGTAGCGACCCCCCTTCGGTTTTCCGGAAGGGGGGGGCAGGGGGAACGGAAAAGGGGGGGGGGGGTTGGAAGGGTGGGGGCCCGGGCTCCGTAAAACGGGGCTCAAGAGTAAAGCGGCGGTGGATATCCTTCCGGGCTCAAGACCCAGAGGTCCAGGCTCCGTAGGTTCCTCCACCCTTCGGCTCGCTCCGAATCCTCCTTAGCTGTTTGCGTTTAGAGGCCTTGAGGATGTGGATGTCGAGTGGCGTTAGGGGCAGCTGTTGGGGGCCGATGGTGTTGCGTCTGGGGGCGGGGCTGGGTCTTCGCCGCCTGGTGTTCCCCGGATGGGTTTGCTGGCGGGCCTCCTTGGGCGCCCGCGGAGGCGGGGCTCCGCTCGCCCGCCAGCTTTCACCAGCACGGGGCGAAGGTCCCTGTATTGGACCTGGCCCACGTTGCCCGCCTGCATGGGTTTGATTCGCCTCCCTCTGCGGTCGAATGGGCGAAAGGGTGCAGGCGGGCAAAGCGCGACAGCAGGTCCGAGTCGGAGTGGTGGCCCCTAGAGGGGGCCTTACTCACCTGCGGCCGCTGCGGCGGCAGGCGGACTTTGGCCCGCCCAGCTTCATTCTCATTCCCATTCCCATTCCTTCAAAATCATGTTGATCCACAGCGTAAGACACAGAGCGGTGGGCTTTCATTTCCCTGAGCGAGGGCCGAGCCTCATCCCCGACATCGCGGGCAATGGGCCCCCAGGTTTCTTAGACAAGAAACCGAAAAGGCCATCCACAGAACCTTGGACGGGTGAAACACACCCTGGAATAACGCAGCGCAGTCCACGGAAATGAACTTGGGATGGGTCCGGCGTTTCTAAGATCCGTCAGGCGTTCATATCGTCAACTGCAGTTCCAGCTTTGGAAATCACAGGCTTGTCGAAAAAGAAGCACGCGCCATCCGTGCAGAGAAGGTCGTCAGGGCCGAACATGAAAGGGCACGTGGGGCCCCCGCGGCTGTCAAAAACTCTCAGATCACAATCTCCAGCAGGTGGGGGATATCTGGTGTTGCTGGCCAGCGCTTGAAAAACAATAAACGTGTACCACTAGGACTTGAAGCCTGAACAATCATGCCATTTCCAAAATGCTCAGACCTGCCCCCGACTAGTTCCTCGTGGCGGCACTTTCAGACCCGCTCCCAAACGTTGTCCTCGTGCTCGCCACACATCGGGCACATGGTGTCCACCCTGTAGCCCCACTCCTTACTTAGATCAGAGCCTGTTGGGAGAGCACCCGGAATGAGTTGGCGAAATATTTGGCCCCCGGATGGCGTCAGTGCTCGTGCCATGCGTCTCATGCGCGGTAGCCGGAGTCCCCGGACGGCCAGGTCCTGGCTGCGCGCAAAGGCTGGAGGCCCTGAACATGTGTCCATGAGCCTAGAAGGAACTCGTGGGCCAAGTCGGCCACGAACAAGTCGGCAACCTGGGCAGGCGGGGGGTCCGCGAGCACCCAACGGCGCCCACGGGGGCGCAAAAGCGCCGCGGGGCCCTCTCACGTCCAGCCGGCCGCCCCCAGCCACGGCAGAATGGCAGACGCGGGCCCCTTGGCTCAGAGCACCTGGAGGGCGGGGAAGTCCACGCCTACAGTTAAGTCGGGCCTGTCCCTCTACAGGAGGAATATTTCAAAATCATTTAAACATATTATGGGGATGATTTGTTGACAATTTATGGGCATGTTTGGAATATTTTTTGCGCCCCGACTGAAGCCTACAGGCGTCGGAGACACGCCACGACTCCCAGCAATGCCTTTTTAGACAATCCCCTGCGAGACAGATGGGCACCCCTTGCCTTCGATGGCCCACGCGCGCCCAAAGTTGCACCGCTTCTTGCCGATCCCACAGACCTTTCCTGCTGACCGTCAGCACCTGGTTGGGGGCGAGCCCGCGTGCGTTCAGGCCGTAGGAAATGGCGAAAGGATGCCTGCCTTGAAAACTTGATACTTTGAGGCCCGAGGCCTTGGGGACCCGATGCTGGGACTTCCTGGCACGCTTCCTCTGTGCGCTACTCGCGAAGGGCCTCGGTTCGTGCTTGACTGCTGCGAAGCTAACTCCGAAGTTGTCTGGGGCGTGCGCTGGTTGCCCAGCCAACTGGCCAAGCCTCTTCTTGACCAGCTTCAAAAGCTCTCTCGAGTTTGCCGCCGAGAAAGTATGCTTCCCAGCTGGGGGAACTCTCAACTTTCAACTTCTGCGAGATGGTATTGGCCAAACTTGTGGCAAGCACGCGCAACTGCCCCGCGCCGTCGGCTGCCGAGGCGCGCCACGAGTGGAAGGAGAGATCGTCGACGTCAGGTCCCTGGCTCGTTCCTTCCTCCCCTGCGTTTTGAATGATGGCGGGGGGAGAGGGGGGGCTTCGCTTCGTAGGTCGTGGAGATGCTCCCTTCCACAATCCTACGACTAGAACAGACAAACGAGCTTCGCCATTCGCTCCATCAAGCAGAAGGCAGCGCGCCCATCGACCGGCAGAGGTCGCGCAGATCATTCTGTGGAGCGGAAATTTGGACAAGATAGCTTGGTCAAGGAGGCCCCTGTGGCACATGTGTTCATAGGATTGAGGCCCACGGGGATGGCGGCGCAACATCAGCTCATTCCTGAGGCCAGCTATGATAGTACGCTCTGGCGCCAGACCACGTCGGGGGCGATGCGGCCCTGCCCCGTTGAGAACTCAGGCCCCAGGCCAACTTTCTATTCGCGGCTGCGGCGCGGATTCCGATGGGTCTTCAAATGGGGCCCCGCGAACCCATTGTAGCACCCTCTCGGTCTCCTTCCCTTGTCGGGCCACCCCATCTGGAACGCGATGGATCTCTGGGCGCCAGTGGCGGCCTGGCCCAGGACATCGACCAGGTGGTCGAGGAGGGAGAGGGCCTCCAGAGCCTCGTCGGATACGAGACTGGGGCGCCCGGGGTCAAACCCATCCGGGGCACGGGCGAACTTCTTGAAGCGGGGGCTCACCACCTGCAACTGCTGCGGGGTGACGGGATCCCACGGGAACTCAAATTGTCGGCAGGTCCAGCTCGCGGCGACCAGGCTCTCCACCGGCCATCTACGCTGCTTTCCAGAGACGTCGCCCCTCAGCGAGTCGAACTGACAACTAGCCAGAAAATGAGCCACTGGAAGGGGCTAGTTCCTCGTCGACGGCCCCCCCACTCCGCAGAAATCTGAGCGCGACAGCTTCTTCACGCCAGTCCGCCCGTGATTTCCTAGCTCTTGACTCATCCTCTTATTGGCGCGCATGTACCCACTGTTCCAGGAAGGCCGCAAGATGCTCCAGAAGTTGGATCCTGGACCGGGGCTCGAAGGACCCCAGCACATCAGCCGCGTTGGCTAAGGAAGGGTGCCAGCAGCTGTCTCCTGCCTTCAGTGCTTC